ATCTCTTAGCTATTGTGAAAAGAGCAGCAACAAACATGGATGTACAAGTGTCTCTGCAATAGGACGAGTTCTTTGGGTATATGCCAAGGAGTGGTATAACTGAGGTTTTATGACAGTTGCATTTTGTATATTAGTTTAGTAGTCGCCACAACATTATAGCAGATACTATCTCTAGTTTATCGAAAGCATCCTAATATACAGGATTCTCTTTCCAGTGAGATTAAATAATCTTCCAAAGTTCATATGGCTAACATGCTGGGATATGAACAGAGATGTACTTCACCTTGAGGACCATGTTCTTTCAGCAGCAGTATCATAATACATTTCCCAACTCACACAGGTAGCAAATGATGGACCTAGATTCAAACTCATCTGTGTCTTGAGTAGAAGTCAAGCCTATGGATGCTACCCACTATGAATGTTATCCTGAAGCAAGGAAAAGATGCTGTTCCTACTCATAAGATACACTAGCATTGAAAGCTTACTTGATTTCAAATGCAGTTTCTCATTTGCTTTCTCTACAAGGAATTCTTCTGGTTGATACCCACCTTCAAGAATTTCCAGAAAAAGCCAAGTGGGGAGATTGCTACATTTATACTACTAATAAGAAAGCATTTTATGGGGCTAGAGATGGCTCAGCAGTTAGGAACTTTTGCAGAGGACCCATGTTTGGTTCTCAGCACCCACATGGCAGCTAACTGTCTGTAACTCCAGTTACAGGGGACCTGGCACTCTCTTCTGGCCTCCACAGGCATTGCATTACACAACTGCACTTATATACACACAAGTAAAACACTCATACACATAAATATAAATAAAATTTAAAAAGAAAGTATATCATGACTGAATTAAAAAGTGAAAAGTATAACACTAACAGGACTATTAACATGTGTTCCTCATTTGTATTACATCTGTTCTTTGCTAGGGGCTACTTTAGGTTCTTTAGATATGCTGAGTTACTATAATGGTTTTATGTGGCAGGAACTGTCATTCTCACAGAATCTGAGATGAGGAAACAGATTCAGAAGTTAAACTGATTCTCTAAGGTGATATAGTGGTGGTAAATCCCAGATTCAAACCAGGTAACTTGGCTAGGCTGCTGGACCTTTCCCTGTAGAAGGAACTGAAAATATTATTTGTTCTGTTCACAACCTTACCAACTGGATGGTTTTCTATTATTACAATTAACAGATATTTTGAAAAGTGAATTTGATTAAGCAAAGACTATAGTTAATTTATCTCGCTTACTTATTTAAACTCAGTGAGATTTTACTGAAACATGACATACTTAATGAGTTTAAATCAATGCTAATCCTAGTCTTAAAATAGAAGTGCAATGTAGTTGGCATATCTATCCTTTTTAAGTAGACTAGAAAAATAGCTTATTTCTTTCAAAAGTGTTCAACACTTGTATCATTTAACATTTTGAATGTGCTAGCATGTGTTCTGGTTTGCGTTCAATTGCTGACAAAACACTCTGATCAGTACCAACTTAGGGAGGAAAGGGTTTATTTGGCTTACTTCTTCTGAGTTGTAGTTCATTATTGAGGGAGCCCAAGGTAGGAACTCCGGACAGGAACCTGGAGGCAGGAGCTGAAGCATAGCCCATGGAGAAATGCTGCTTACTGGTTTGCTCCCTGGTCCATGCTCAGCCTGCGTTCTTATACAATACCGAACAGCCTGTCCAGCACTGTCCACAGTGGGCTGCCCCTTCTCTCCTGCCACAAAACTCAAAAAAATCAAGAAAACACTCCAGAGACATGGCCACAGGCCAGTCCAATGGAGGAAATTCCTCGGTTGAGGATCCCTCTATCCAGGTGTGTCAGGTTGACAACTAAAGCTATCCAGCACATGTATGTATTAATCTAGATTCATTTTTTAGGGCTGCCCCTGACCACTTCCAAAGTCCTTCAAGCACAGTTGGGGGACTCAGTATGATGAAAAAGGACATCTCTTTAAACCTACTTGACAAAGAGATCCCATATAAGTACTATATGATTAAAACCAAAACACAAGTAGACTTAAGGGCAAAGTTTGTACCTAAACTTTTATGCTTCTTTCTAAAGGTTTCTTACAAGCTCTTTTGCCCCAACAAGAATCACATACAGTAGTGACTGAGTAGTTATAAGCCAGAATAACGGCATAGTGGATCAGGGCAACTCACATCAGTAGAAGACATCCTATTCACCCTTTCAATGATCTAGTTCCCACAAATGTATGTTAACTTTCTGACTTCAGTGATTTCTTTACTGAATTTGTTGGTCAAGCAATTACCACTAGTCACTTATCAGCCTATAAGACAATAAATTCTTTCACCAGCACTTATAGGAATATTTAGGTTTGAAAGGAAAATCACTAAATTTACTTGATTTGAAAATGTACAATCAGAATTCCCAATATGCTTATTTTTGTAACTGGCCAAAAAAAATTCTCTTAATCCTAATCAATCATCCTCTGTTTACTTTGGCAAGCTGGGAATAACAAGAGGCATCTGTAGGGCACAAATAGCTTCTTAGTTCATGAAATTTGCTTCTTTTAAAAAACCCAAACAAAACATACCCACATCCCCATGCCCCACCACACTCTAGTGTGCACACACAAAATTCCTGATTTTTGCCAATCTCTCAGAAAAAAATGAAAAAAAAATCCAGAATTATTTGTTTATATAAGAAATAATTAACTTGAATTAAAATTTGATAAATTATTTAAAGATTTCAATTTGGGGGCTAGAGAGATGGCTCAGTGGTTAAGAACACTGTTCTTGCAGAAGACTGGGTTCGAATCCCAGCACTCACATAGCAGCTAACAACTGTCAGTAACTCCGGTTCCAGGGGATTTGACAGTCTCTTCTGTCCTCCGTGGATATTCCATGACACGGGTGCACTTACCTACATGCAGGCAATACATGCATACACATAAAATAAAGATAATAAAATATTTAAAAAGATGTTGTATTTGTATTATAGGAATATTGTAATACAGTCCAGCTGGATTCTGGGATAGATTATCGGAAAAGGGAACTCACTCCTGCAGGAAAGCTCTACTACCTGTAAGTGTTTCTTGTTTCC